GCGCCTTATGAATACGTTATAGTCCATTGGATTAGGAACTAGGAAGGTCAAGGGGGGGGGGAGGCGATTTCGAAGGCCAAGGGTTGGAATTGGTGTAGTCGAAAAAAAGTCTGCTGTTCTTGCGTAATCAGATCAGGTGATTTGTCACGTTATTTTCTTTCCTAGCCTCAGCAATTCTCCCACGGTATATCGGATTGTTCTCAAGGCGTTGATTAGCCATTGAGCAGCGATTATAGTCACCCTTTTGGTGATTATGCAAATTATCACGATATATATTATTATTCTCCACATTGAGACTAACATTTAAGGGTAAAATTATTAACTTGACTATGGGAACTGTGAGGGAATTTGTGACACATTGACATTTCCATTTTCTCTCGAACTCACTTTGAGTTGTAAATGTGGGAAATTAGTTTGAGAAATATAGAAAAAATCAATTTGGCTACCTAATATAACCCCAGATTTTGCCATCTCTGCTCTGCTTCGTTGAGATTGCAAGCTTCCAATTATCATACAAGATCATTTTACCCCATAACCACTTGGAGAAAAATAAATGAATTAAACGATGAATAATTAAAAAAGGGTCATTGGGTGTTGGAGATTGCGGATAAGCATTTGATGAAATCCGAGGGAAACGTATCGTGAAATTTGAATCTTGGAAAGCGAGCTATCCAATTCTTAAATATTGCCTAACAGGGGTGTGCGATAGACTTACCTCCACGTGGTGCACCCTGGGCAACGTATACTCATACGGAAAAAAGTCTATTAACAGGCAGTTGACTTCTGACTTCAAACTACCATAGCCCGACTGCTTGTCATATTCAACCCCTTCAGCAGCACTCATCTTGCCTTTTTCTCTACCTTTGTGTCTGTCTGCCTCTTTAACAACTGTGAATCGCTCTTCTGCTCCCCTTCCTCGACTTTCTGCTACATTGATGACCCTTCCCTCTGTGAAGCCCGAAGTCAACTATACGGCTAATGATAGCTATCAAAACGCCTGCCATTTGAAATAAATAAATATTCCCTAGCCCGATTGCAATAAGTGATTGAAGTAAGACTCTTTGGTGTCCTACGTTACTCTCAGCACCTGTTAACCCACCCCCCTTCATTGTCAATAATTAGACATTCCACTAACCCATTCTAGTTGCTTCCAATGAGTAGGAATTACACAGTTTCTGTTACTGTGGGTAGAAAATTCTTTAACAAATCCAAAATTGTTTTAATATCTACTTAAGGGAATTTTCCTTTCAAGTGTCATTAAATTTTGTTTTCAGTACCTCTATGATGCTGTTGCCCCATATTTACTTTGATGGAAAAAGCCCATCAACTTCGTGGGATAATGGAGAAGGAGTTTCGTGGTATTGATTTCGCCAGGGTTATTTTTGGCTGTGCAATCAGAAATGGAGGTGGTATGGTTACAGCTTCGCCATTGCCATCACCAGGTTCAATAAATTCAATTAATGATATGCAGGCACGAAAGTAACGCTAAAAATACCGTAACCACTTTCAGAGGTGTGGATGAGTTTCAGAAAGAGAGAGATAGTGTGTGTGTGTGGGTGTGATTGAGAGAGTCTACTACAGTATTTTACTTATTTAAAGGCTTTTCTAAGACACAAAAAGGCTATAAGTTAATGAATTGGTCTATGATTATATCAAATCGCAGGTGTTTTAATAGTTATCATTAGCCCTTCAGTTGAATTTGAGCTTAACAGGGAGGAGGAAGATCAAAATCACAAAAAGCGGAGAGGGGGAATAGGAGAGTATTTCACAGGTGTAAAAGAGGAAGACAGACAGGCACAAAGGTGGAGAAAAAGGTGAGGTGAGTACTGTGAAGTGGTGGATTATGGCACACAGTGGGGTCATGATGGTTTGAATTATAAGTCAACTACCGGTTTAAAGAACTTTTTGCCGTATGAGTATACGCTACCAATGTGCACCACGAGGAGATAAGTCTATCGCACACAAATGAATTGGTGTATATAATTAACATGAAATAATTTAAAATGCGTAAAGCGCTCTCATTTCTTCTTCCATTAATACTACTTGGGAATTAATCACCACTTTTACTGCTTGTTACGTAGACTTAAGACTGCATAAAACTGGAGTACTTGTATATTTTTCATTACGGCTAATGTAAGAACCCTATCTCAATCGCACATATATTTTTATTTTTGCTACTGAATTACTATTTAAGTATGTTATAACAGCAAGAATATCAATATTTCCTTGTCCTCACAGTTGAGCAAACCGTTTCTTACTTCGTTTACTCATGTCACTGGATAATAATAAAAATTTTATCATTTAAATATTAATTAAGGAGGTAGTAGATTATTTAAATTATTTTTATTAAAAATTTTTCAACATGGATCCAGTGCAGCTTTGCTTAATATAATTTGAAATGAGAAAAATGTTTGACAGCGTTTAGTCATCAACATGTCCAATTCATAAATAATTTCAGCCACACTCCGTCGATACCAAATGTTCTTGCTCCTTCTAACGGCTCTATTGTGGTGGTGGTGGTGGTGGTGATTAGCTTATCTTATGTAAACCCTAGCAGACATCGTTATTCTCCCTTCCTTATGATTAAATATGGAGTTATTAGCAATATCAACGACTTGAAATTAATGATCAATAATTACCTCATCTGTGTGTATGAACCGTATTTGAAGGCGGGAGAAGAATGAGAGATCCCGAACGTTGGAACACTTTCGAGCATGAAGCATTGATCGGTCGCCAGTAAGCAAGAAAGTTACAATATGAATCTACCCAATCATCAATCAAGTTTGAGACGAACGAGATTACAAATCTTTGCCCCCCCCCCATAAACCGACTTCTACAATAAATACTTCGATCCACTTGTCTTGAAAGTTGATCTCCAATCAAATGTTCTCGAAATCTCGTGGAAGGCAGTTTTGAGGACAGACACAACCGCAATTGGAGGTGGGTAGATATCTTAATTTCAGGAATGAAACCCCCCTGGGTAAATGTTGCATTGAAAGGTATGCACCTCAATGTTCAAACCGTCTCTAAGGCACACCATTTGCTTGGATTGAGTAAATTTTCATAATAAGAACTGGTTCAAGTACTTATTTTCACTGCTCCTAGAACCGACCTTGACTCCAGCCCCTCATCAAAACCAGGTCAAATAAGGCAGGCTACCTCAAACTCACCTGAGTCGAAAAATAATAAATTTCAAATGGCAGGCGTTTTGATAGTTATCATTAGAACTTTAGTTGACTTCGGACTTCATAGAGGGGAGGAACATCGTAGTGATAAAAATTCGAGGGGGGGGGGGGGAAGAAGAAGAGTGATTCAGAGAGGTAAAGAGACAGATGGGCACAAATGTAGAGAAAAGGTATAATGAGTACTGTTGAAGTGGTCGAATTTGACATACAGTGGGGTGATGATAGTTTGAAGTCAAAAGTCAACTGCCAAGTAATTGACTTTTTGCCGCATGAGTACACGTTGCCCAGGGTGCACCACGTGGAGGTAAGTCTATCGCGAACCCCGAATCGAATCATTAAGGCGACTGTTTATGTACACTCTTGAATGTGTGGGGGATTGATTTACTGCCAGATTAGCCCGTGATATAGCCGCGATGCAACTTCACTCCCAGGTAAAAGCATGAAAGTACAGTTATAAAAATTTCCAGTTAACCGAGGTGCCAATTCCGCTCTCAACGGGTTGTAAATTCTGCTCAAAATATAGAGAATAGTTGCTTTCACTTTCTATCAAAATATATGAAGAAGAGCAGCGAATGTTACTTATCTGCTCAGCAGGACTCATATTAGATAGCTCCGATGCTGTTGGTAAATTCACAGTTACGGACATCTTACTAAAATTTATTTATTTATATCAAATGGTAGGCGTTTTGATAGTTATCATTAACCCTGGAGCTGACTTCGGGGCTTCACAGAGAGGAGAAGGAACATCAAAGTGACAAAAAGTTGAGAAGTGGAACGGAAGAGTGATACACAGGTGTAAAAAAGACAGAGAGACAGACACAAAGGTATAAAAAAAGGTAAAATGAGTACTGTGGAAGGGGTCGAATATGACAAATAGTCGGGCCACAGTAGTTCGAAGTCCGAAGTCAACTGTCGATTAATAAACTTTTTTGCCGTATAAGCATACGTTGCCCAGGGTGCACCTCACGGAGGTAAGTCTATTGCGCACCCAAATTTTACTAAAATAAAGTGCCAATGTCTTCAAGTTTATATAGACAACGATGGACCACATGCAAGAACATTTCATCATCGAAGGAAAAAGGTAATTTAACAAGATCAACATTTCTCAAATAAATAATACCATTCGAGAAGTATCTACTGTGATCCAGGGGGCTAATTGTGAAATGCCTATTTAGTACGTGTTGTGCAACACGAGCCCAAAATATTCAAATGAAGTGAGACTGTTGCCAGGATGTTGGTCTCAGCCCATTTTGATCAGCCCCCCTTTACACTTTGGCGGGCACACTGTGGCCCCATATCAGTTACAAAGCACAATAAAATTTTGTTTTACTACAGTCAGCTACTTCCCGCAATTTTAAATTACCATGGAGAATAATTATTCCAAGGAAGCGAATACGCACCCAGGTATACACTCAAAGCAAAGCTTCCAAAACCTCTTCGCGATAAAAACAAAAAGAACTCAGCAATTTCAGAGAGTACAATTAGCATTTAGTTTTCATCATTTCAATATTATTAGCAGTCTGTATATTAAAGTAGCAGAACAGTATCATTAAAAGAGATTCGAAGGCAACAAGGCCAAAATTTAACACGAAAACGAAAGAAAAAGTAAAAGTTAAACACAAACAAATTATTGCACATTGGGGGGGGGGGGGAATGGGGGTAGGGAGAAGAGAAAAAGGGCAAACGATCACAGAAGAAAAATGATATGGGAAGGAGGAGGAGGAGGAAGTGTTATAGATATACATGAAAGACTCATTGTCGTCTCAGGATTTAAACAAGCATGTACAGAGGAGATATTGGCGTTCCCGTCAAGGTTCAGGGTATGAAGAAAGGTCGAGAACGCCGTTTCAGATAGAAGGAATCCAGGGACATTGTTCTACGCAACCGACGACCAGTGCTTGCCAATGCCATATTTACGTCCAGGACTTCATGGGAGCAAGCCTATCGGAATAGATAAATGATTATGTAACGAATCGTGCCCGACTAGGAGAAACATTTGAAGTTAAAGGAAAAAGCACGTCATTTTCCTACCTACCCGCATTAAATTAGTACAGCATGACATAAATGGGCAACTTTTGACATTTCTAATATCGGAGAACTAGGGAAACGTTGGAGATTTTCAATTTACCCGCTTGTCACTCACTATATAGGATAATATCTTCTGTAAGATGAGAACTGAAATCTGGGTTCTTAGGTGGCAATTCTAAGGATCCTCGGTGCTAACAACTGATAGACCAGCACACTGGAAATGAAAGATTGGAATACACTAAAGATGTATTCATCAAATTAGCAGAGCTCGTAAAAGTTTACTTTCTTGCTTAAACACATGGAGGCTAATCCCGCAATCCAAATGATATTTACAAAAGGAATATGAAAGTGAATTCTCGGTGTCACCGTTGTTCTAACCAAGTGATCGCCCAACACTCAAAATGTGTCAGCTGAAAGTCGAATGAAGATTGTGAATTGGAGGTATAAGAGAATTGCATTTACTGGGTCGTGGGGAAAGAGATATAAGCATGGAGATTTCGACCCCAACCAAGAACCCTACCAACCACATTCATTTAATAAACCCTGGGCGTGTTGCATAGAGCGCTGCTGCTACGTTAAATACTATCGCTGTCAATCACATCTGGTCATGGAATGGATGAATGAAAACCGGCGTATCATTATCATTCGGTTAACAAGCTATGGAAAAGTGTAGGCATGATCTCACCTCAATGAAGGTTGAATGTGAGCAACCTTGACACCCCTTTCCTCCGTTTCACGTCCACTAGGCTTGTTACACCTCACATTATTAAAAGTTGGAAAAGTTTCCCATTAAGTATCAGTTAGATACGCAATGCCAATACATCCATCAACCCCTGAGGGGATTTCATATTAACACACTCATGCTCCCCACTCCCCCCCCCCCTTCGCCTTTCCAGAATCACATTTGTAATGGGGATTACACATTGTGCGCCTTTTTTCACCAATGAGTCCTTATTCTACCTAGACCACTTATGCAGGCATGCCTTGAGATGAGCGATCCACAACCCGCATGTGATTTCTAGGTCCTCTGAAAATCTTTAATATGGAGGCGCGTTCTGCTCTTGGTATCTTAACACAGTTAGACTGTACATAATTGTCATCGATCGATTGGTGAGTTGATCATAAGCCATCAATTATGTAAAGTGGTCCGGGTGTGCGATAGACTTACCTCCACATGGTGCACCCTGGGAAACGTATACTCATATGGCAAAAAAGTCTATAAACCGGCAGTTGACTTCTGAGTTCGAACTACCATGACCCCACTGTATGCCATGTTCGACCACTTCCACAGTACTGATCTTACATTTTTTTCTACCATTGTGTCTGTCTTGCTCTTTTACCTCTGTGAATCCTTCTTCTTCTGTTCCCCCTCTCCACTTTTCTCACTTTTATGTTCCTCCCCACTGTGAAGCCCGAAGTTAGCTAAAGGGCTAATGATAAGTATCATAAAGCCCGTCGTTTGAAATAAATGTAGAGTGACCTTTATTTGGTTAAATAGGTCTTGCCAAAATAAAGACGTTTTTGGAGGTAAAGCAATTCATCCTTCTCCCCTTAAATTCCATCCTCGCAATAATTGAAGTTTTAGTTGCATTAAAGTCGTGGCTAACAAGATTAGTTGCTGATAATATGAAACTAAAAGAGGTAAATTTCTATGATTAGTCTTGGGATAGGCAATTTCTGCAGAGGTTGTGTCCAAGTCGCCCATCAAACCTAGGAGCGCACACCCCACCACAACCCGACACAGACAGCTTGACCGTTAGTTGGGCCAAAAAAATTGTCACAAAACCGGCGATGTTTTAAACTTTGAGTGCCACCGCAACATTCCCCCCCCCGTGTATTTGATTAATAAAGTTTCTTGACTAAGTTGTACGCCATCTCATTGCTCACTTTCCCAGGACCATGCGTCAAATTTAGCCTGCCAATACCCAATGTGGCCTGATAGATCCTAGAGTGAGAGATACCATACCTTCTAGCATTAAAACAAAAAATTAAGACATCAAAAAAACTTTTAATTTATAATATGCAATTTTCACCTATTAATTGCCCACACTACACTTGTGCGCACTTGAATTCAGAAAACAACAAAAAATATGAAGAGAAAGCAATATGAGACTTACAAGTACTTATTTAAGCTACCGCAATCATTATAATTAAATTACTAAGGAGTAATTTACCGGCTTTGATCAAACAGAAAAAAACAACAATAAATGAAATAGAGGAGGGAGTATATTAAGGCAGATACCAAATAATCCGCTGCACTATTTTCGTTTTAAAATTAAAAAAAGAAGGAAATTAACGCACCTCTAGATACTTTGCCGTATCCACTGTAAGACGGGAGAATTCATGACTAGAGACGGTAAGATCCCTGATATCAAAGTAATATTTGGTGTAGACCTTACTGGGCACATTAATATTAAACTGGATGATTTCCAGAAAACGCCGTTCCAACTCATTTCTATAAACAAGGTACAAGGAAATTGTGAGAGATCTAATATCATGGATCCAGAGGTATTCCAATGAAAAAAACATCAGCCTACACATCATCTACTTTGAGTTCATCCAGGATCTGACAGTAGTCGACATTCCACACGGCCTGATCGTCCCACACTTTGCTGGCCAGGAGAATGGCACAGAGAAGGATTCGCTTCCAATTGGAGACATTCAGGTAGATGTGTCCACCATGCAATAATCTCTCAAGGTATATCTGCTCGAATTTGAGGAAAATGACAAAAAAATATTAGCACGCTCAGCACACATGTATCAATAATACTGTAAAGTCAAAGAAGCCAATCTTCAATCTATTGAAATAACTTTTGAATTTTTGGAATTTAAAATCGTCAAACCTTCACCACCTTCCATATAGTCAAGTAGAATTAGTCTAGACACACTTCTTTCTCTCCTCCCCCCCCCCCCCCCCCCCACCAACTTTGACCAATACGAAAAAAGACCAGCAAAAAACCCCGTAGACTTAGAAGCTAAGGAAGCCCTTGAGAAAACCCCACGTGAATACAGAAAGGTAAATTAATAGCACATTTTATACATAGAAATGGTAAAAAACAGGAGTGGACATTCAATAACTCACAGCAAGTGTAGAAATGTTCACATTGAACTTCGACACACACACACACAACTCAACATGTTTTCGGAAACTTTTGCCAATTCATTTGGTGCAATTCCTACAATCGCGTATTGCGAATGTTCATTTTCGACTCTTCGTCGTTGTTTTGCGCAAGTCTGTAGATTCTACTATTTGCATCGCATTTACTTTCTACGTTCTTACATGCAAAATGCTTCAATGTGTTCTAACACGAAGCGCGTTTGATGCTTAGTTGAGAAGGTGGACGTCTGGCTGATTTGTGTGAACTTCTCAACAGGGTCACACATCAACACATTGAATACTCTCTGGCAACAAGCCAAAATGCGCACGATTATGTTGGCCGTCAATGACTGAACCTGGAGATCTAAATTAAACACCTAGTATCTTGACAACACTGTTTAAAGAAGAAACTGTCCGTGGATATCTTGTGGCAAATCTTCCATCTAACGTTGCCAACGACTTATGTCCTAATTAAGTGCCAACAATGAACACTATTTGTTCTATTTACAAGGAATTCAACAGGACGGTATCCACACAACCTTTACAAATCTAGTGACAACGGAACACACTGAACACTGTATGACTCCGTGCAGGCGATCAATATCGCTTTCAGCATGATACAGAACTTCTCTTACCTTGGCCATAATTTATTAATTCAATTTCTCCATCTAGAAGGTTCAGCTTAAAGGCGTTCTTACAAGGAAAACGATCCTGACATCTGAAAACACGGCCAAATTCCATCAGCAGGGGCTTCAACTTGATCAAACATCGCTAGATGCTATTCCAAAATCCTTGGAGAAATAGATACAAACACAGTTCCAGAGCAGCTCAAAATTTCACAGATAACTTTCTCCATTTCGAGACCCATAGATTCGCTAGTCCAAACTCCCAAACCCGACAAGGGACATTTTTCACAAAGCTATTTGGAATAAGCTCTTATTGATCAGGAACAAACTGTGCGATTAGTCACCTACACCACTGTACGTGCGCCAAGGATCGTCGATTTAGTGACATCTGGTTTGGCAAGCATGCACGTCAACTACGGCTAACCCATCCGACCAATGAATGACTGCCCTTTGCGGTTAAATAATGTAAGCTACACTATTCTATATTAGATATTAATATTACTGGCATATTACCGCTACATCTACGCTCGATCAAATCATACAGCTGTCAAAGTGTGTTTAAAATGCAGACCACTAGAAGACTCAGCTAGCGGTATGCAGTGTACAGTCGACACACTGCAAGGTGATGATGCCTAGCGTGGTTTATTTTGCACTCGCGTATGTGCAAACACCCAGGCATTTGCACAGAAGGAATGATTCTGACTTCTTTCCTTAACTCTCTCTCTCTCCCTCTCCCTCTCACTCCTGCCGATCTTAGCCAATTGGAGGGGCTTTGCGCAATTCTTCACCAACTAGGTGTGGTTAGTGCAAGCGAGAGAGAGAGAGCTGGCGTTTTCATTTTAAGGCCACCATGTAAAGGTGTGAGGGGATAAAAAATTTCCCGGTACACTAAGAGATCTCTTAGCATACACACACACATACAGTGCTATTATCTGTATGGATGCGCGAAAACATGACTGAAAAATAACACCATTGTGTAAATGACTCCTCACACACTTAAATATTTATTACAGGACAGATTCTAGCCTAAATATCCCAAACGTAGTATAAGGAGACAAACTAACCTACTGCTCCTTCCAGAGACCGTGATAGATTGTCTGCAAGATTTAGAAGTGACTAAGTTGACGTGTGATCACAGGAGGTGAGAAAATAGGTGGGTGGTGGAGGGATTGAAGTGAAGAAGGCAAAAAAGTGGATGAAATTGATAAATGAAACGATGGTTAAGCCCCAAAATGCACTACAACTCTCGGAGAAGATGGTGAATAGTGAGTATAGAAGTCACGCTCAAATTCAAGCAAAGAGCACCAATAGCTACAATACCAAATTGAAGGGAATATGACCAAGAACTAAGTGGTTTGAAAATGCGTTGGAAACACTAGCGTTAGCTTAGAAATAGCTCACTGAAGACAAGCGCGCGTGGAAATTGATAACACAACTACTTTTCATGCTTTTTCGACGTCGAATTTGCACATTCTTGGAGTTATTCCAGATTAAAGGACGTCTGATGTAAAGAAGAGAAAATATCGCTTTAACTAAAAACTACAAGTAACAAATCGAAGTTGGAAAAGAAAGTCGAAACGTCCAACGTTATTACAAGGCCTCTCTAATCTGATGAGATTTGCATACTATAAAGCCCTTTTTCCTCCTACTTTGTAGAATATATAATTGAAATTCAAGTTAAATTGATTTTTTTTTGATGCCAAAGGATTCTGAGGGTGGATGGAATTGATGAGCCGACGTACTTAGTTGGACATCGTTTGAAGTAGGCAGTGTGCAGACTTAAGTGTGCGTGAAGTGGGTGTGCTTAATTTTACAAATGAAGTTTCTGTTAAAGGCATTTTGTTAAAAATGTTACTTTAAAGCCAAAATTTAATATGAGGAATGTGAGAAGAGACCAAAGAGAGTGAGTGAGCCAGAGAGAATATAGGCCTCTGCAGCACCAATGGTGTAGCGGTCAACAAGAACATGCACAATGTGAGTTCATGAAATAGTTAATTAGCAGTACCCATAGAGTCAACAACACGACTAACCGTTTTATTTGAAACGAGTAATGCAGCAAGTTCGCGCACAAGAGAATACTTCATATATCGATGCAAGTAGTGGGGAAAACCTTCTCTGCACTGGATGCTTCAAATACAATGTACAAAAACAATGGGTTCTTACACGAAAGACAATCCGTCACAAAATGTCAACCTAATCCACCCCCCCCCCTCCCCCACCTCTTGGGTGACTGTTGAGAGGAATTTAAAAGGAAACTATCTCTAGAAAATTGGAAAGGTGATAAGAATATATCGACATTAACTTCCACATTCAGGTTGCCGAGATTACGTACATTCAAGATGATAAAACCATGCAGTGGGCTGGTTTTATGATCATATAGACTCTTCCAAACATTCGCCTGAATGAATATGGGCTCAGGAATGCTTTGGAAGCTGTTAAGCATTATCAATTGCAAGAAGAATTGATAGCAAAAGTATAACATAAAGAAGCACCAAACATTGATTTCCTATTTAACCAATTCTTGAATTTACTCCAAACAAGCTAAATTCAAACAACTGAAAACCATTTTTAAAAAATTTTAAGCAGCTTAAACCCCTCCAAATTCCGCAGTTCCCTAAAACAAAGAAAACTTAAACTGAAGTCGACGTATTTCCTTTCCAATTAACAACAATTTTAAAAAAGGGTAAAAAGCCCAAAAAGTGTGCAGTTTACTCTTTTTTCTTAAATTTTCAGAGCTATGGTTTCGGCGCTATATTCCTTCTCCCACCTCCCCCCCCCCCCCCCCCCCCCCCAACCCCAAAAGAACCTCAAGGCATCAAACTTGGAATGATGTCAGATTATGTGTATTGACAGCTTAATAGTCATTTCTATAATCAGCTTAAGTTGTCATTCAACTATCTAATTAATAAATGGAAAATAAACGTAATTCACAGTGAAATCTATCCCCCTCTCTCTCTCATGGTATTAGAGGAAAAGCCAGTGATGTTATTCCTCGACCTTGCACAAAAGACAAACTAGTTCTAATTAAAATTTTGTTGGGAAAAAAAGTAGAAACTCAATATTTCAAACTCCAATCCTTGGGCAATAATTTTAAGTTCTCAAAAAGATACAAACAGCGAAAATTCGAATTACCGCCAACACTTGTTATTTAAAAAGCGATATCGTTAATGACTTCAGCAAACAATATTGCTAGGTGTCCATTGGGTTACACCAAAAACCATAGTGACTCAAGTACGGAAGGAAAAAAGCCAATGAAGGCATATTAAGGCATAAATTCATTGCACCGATCTGGAAGTGTATGTTCAAAATGGTCAAATTCCATTTTCAAGTATGAATGAGGAAAATCTCCCACAATCAACGGACCAGTATAAGAGGAATGAAGTGTATTAAAATACACACTCATATGCCTAAAAATTGTATGATTCGAGAAGGGAACTGTGGTGCTCACACAGACAGGTATATGACTTTCAGAAATGGGAGTCATGGGATGACGAATTCTGATTAGCTTCCACGTGGCCTGGAAATCGCATTCGAAATATCACAAAAACCTGAAGTATTTTACAAAAAAGAAGCCCCATATGATAATTTCAGTGCCCAAGAAACACGAGAAAGCGGGAGATATAAGGGGAGGGAGAGACAATGAGTCAGGTAAGCTGTATCAAGTGCTAAGTTTCGCTATTAAATCATTGTTTTTTTCTGTAAAAGTACAGAGGAGACTAATTAGGCAAATCCATTACCATTGAAAATGCACATATTTATGAATGAAAACACAATCCAAGGTGCGAAAATTTCAACTAAATGTATGAGGTGTAACATAATTTGATGGTGATATATATTTTTTAATGGGAGAGAGATGATAAATAGGGAATTGCACAAATTTGAATGTAAATTAACGTAATAGACTATTAACCAATAAGTTACAAATTCATAGATTGTCCCTTTTAATATTTTCTCCTCCCATGAATGGAGAAATTTTGATAGACACACAGTGAGGCAAAAGCCTCACGAAGACATTCGATGTTCAATCCCTAAAGGCCGTGCCCAAATAGAAGCTCACTTAATAAGTAAGAACTCGGACCTTCAAATTCAAAGATGCCGCAAACACTAGATTGCTTGGTACTATTGGACAAAATCTCTTCAAAGGCTGATATAGGAGCAGACTTTGTTGTGAATACTCAAAGAATCGATCAATTCAATAAACAGCAAGGCAAAATGAGTAGCGTGATACTTAAGCACTTGACGGCATCAAAATTAATGAAGACGAACCATAGTAACTATTGCACATTCGGGAGAAAGTTGAGCATTCTGGAAGATTTTTCTGGTAAATCGGTGTACAGTTTTGAGAGAGGGTGGTTGGTTGGGATTTTCATCCGGTGATTGTTCGATCTGAAAGGAATGGAAAAATCAACTGAGTCAGTCAATTACTTCCATCAACTATTTGGGAATTTATGGCAAACAGAGTCGCTTCTGCATAACACAGTGCGTCACACAGGTTTCAAGAAGAAAAAAAAGATAATTCAACTCCTGCCATCAACTTGCGGTCTGCAAAAGTTGCTGTGTTTATGGCTACAAAAAATGAAGGCGATAAATACACGTTTTGGAGCTTAAAAAGACCACTGTGTCTAAAGATTTACATATTCCAGCCTCAAGGGACTCCGAATAGAAACAACAGGATGATAATGTTCGGAGAAAGAAAAAAAGTAATGTTCTTACATTACTGACAAGACCTAATTTTCCAAGATCTTCCAAAGTCTGAGGATTGACGAAGAAAAAGCACTGAATCGAAAACCTCCCCCCCCTCAACCATTTTGTAAAGATATGCGCATACGCTTATTCGAATATTATGAAATGAACTTCCTTTGTAATAAATTAAATAATTGTTTTAACACATGGTTTTCTCTTGCATAATAAAAGATTTAACCAACAATTTTCGTTTAAAGCACCACTCCAAAGCGTGAAAAGGACAGAGAAAAGAGAAAAAAATCCAAGAAATTGGTTCAACTAATAGTAACCTTACTTGACATCAAGTTTAATTAGAACCAGAATTGCAAGAATCATGACTGAAAGGACAGCATATATAACACATAAAGAGCTTCGAAAAAATCAATTAAATTTTCCGTTATCAAATATAACTAACGGTACAAATGATTACTTTAACTCTAGAAGAAAGTTGCCTAATTGGGTAAACTTCTCTCCATGTCCGAATCACAACTGTAATTTAGTAATCTTCGTTTTTTTTAAATTTCAGGTAACGTTGACTTTCGTAGTTACACCTCATTGCATTATTTCACCAAACCACAAATAAATGACCTTTTAATTGAAATTGGTAGTTGAATTTGGAAAACTGCTAAATAAATACACCCGTTGACGTAATTATTTAGTGTTTGCATGGGAGATGAAAGATCATCTTTTCCTTTAGGTTTAGATTTGATCAGGATGCTATATTGGCAAATGCAATATGTATACCAACTAATGTTATTAATAAAATGATTGGCAATAAGTTTAGAAAAGGAAATAAACCTTCATGGGATGATAGGCTTCATCAAAAATTTCCAAATCCTCCTCCGCATCCTCCTTCATATATCCAGGAGAACGAATAAGGAGACAAATTGCTATTGCAACAGCTCTGATAGTGGCCCTCGAATCTGGTTTTGAAACAGTTGATCCATCCAAAAACATCTCGAAAGTGGTATTGGGCTGACGATATTCGCTGCGTTTCATTCTTTTCAAAAGCTAAAAACGAGAAATAAATCATGAAAAAAATTTTAAAATGTAATTTAACAAGTATGAGAATACTTACATCGAGATACCAAGACTGTCCACCTGAACTCAAAGAATAATCACTTAGATGGGAAAATATTTATTGGTGAATACATAGAATAAAACATAAAACTTACGATTTTTGACGAGAACGAAGACTGGATCACATTTAATGCTAATTGAAGGGTCCGATTCTTCATCTATAAAACAGAATATGCCCATAAACCACAGATAAATGGCTTCGTTCTGTGTTAAAAAACGTACTATCAAGTTCACGATCAGCAATGTGTTGAATTTCATCTAAATTATCAGCGATCGGAGCCCGAATTGGAGCACAAGATTTTTGGACAGGAGATACTGCATATGGGGGTGCATAGTAAACATGATCAGAAGTGCAATTCGGTTGAGTGGTGATATTAGCCGGGGAAGTGGGACGATGTGCTTCATAATAATGAAACGGAAGAGATTTGTTTCGTTTTTCTTCTTGGTTGATTCTCATACAGCAATTACCCATTTCTAAAGGTCAGTGACTAAACAAAAAACAAAGATTCGACTAGAAATAATTAAATTTACAATGTATGATAGTTTAATTGATTTCGAAGAGATAATAACACATGTGCTACATCAAAATGTAGCTTTTGTAATGAGAAGAGACGCATACCCACAATTAAAATAAGACAATGAGTGCCCTAGCAAAAAAGTTTTATGGCAAGCGCCTATAACCCCTCAAGGTTACTTTTCAAAAAATTTAATGGTTGATAGGCGCGAAGTTAATTTTTCCTATATGTTGTCTATAGATATTAAAAATGTGATTATTAACTATATAGGAAGTATGTATTTAATCGTCAATAAAAGCACGGCACGAGTGCATATTTGGTTTAGCTTAAGCTTTATTCATCTTACAACTGATGGTAGTAAAATTTAATTCATCATAAAAGCTACAAATATCGTTCAATTTGCCTTCCTTAAAAGTAAACAGTAAATTCGCTCAAGGAAGAACTTACATATTGTTTTTTTTTGCATACTGGGCATGCTTCAAAAATGTAGATAGATATTGTTAACTCATGCGTATTGTGACAGAATTCCTATTTTGCGTCGTTTATTATTTTTAATCTTCTACTCTTTCTATCTGTTTATTCTTATTAACGTACAAAAACGAGAATATTGTACTCAAAGCACGTTAAATGATATCTTTCTCCCGTGTTTGTAAATTATTTTTCCATTAATATGATCTAACGGATAAAGAATAGCCATTATTCGTAACGGTAACAATGAAAGCTTACCAAAATATGCAGCCTGAAACCCACTGACAAACCCTAATAAGAGTAATTTCATCCGAAAAATAATAATTAAGGGTTTAATAGAGCGGGAAAATAATATTTGAAATAGTATCCACTTTAAAATTTCAAGAACACTAACAATCGATTTCATAAATGACCTGAGTTAAGAATTTTGGAAAAATTATTGTAAAATACCAATTATATTGTTAGTAAAAGTGCTTGCTCTTTATTCCAATATTTAAACCAACAATTAAATGAATTCTTTTTTGTTTATGCCTCTGACATTCATTTCAATTTCTGTCCTGTTTATTTTGGGCTTTTGATAAAATTTGACTTCCTTTGGATAATACACGGGTATTCTAATTTAATTTATTTTTGCATAGTATTGAAATATTAGAATAATATTAACTTTTTCGATTTTGTAGCCTCGGTTTCTAGTTTGCCACAAAATGAGTTGAATTCGTGGGAGCCAATTGTATTTAAAACTATGACAAACATATCCTCAAACATTTGCAAATTGGTAATAAATGGCATATAGCGTCATAACATGTTCTTTTCGTTGAATTCCTCGTATTAAAGGAAGGAAATTGGTGTCATCACTCGTAGTACTCTAACAACCGTTCGTTACCTTAATCACCATCTTTTGTCAAATTTATTAAAAGGAATCTCAGTTGTAATAATTACAATGAAGATGTCCATTTTTCAAGTTATTATAGAAAATTAAAATACCCTAATAATCAGGCCAAGCCACAGCTTACTTCGTTAGCATCGATGAAATATTATAATTACGCTCACAAGAAAAGCCAACTGTCACTATCAAGCAATTAACTAATTGAACTCTTAATGAATGAATAAGCCTTTTGTTTTATTAAAAAATGTATTTAGCGGATTCCGACGAAAATGAAAATTACATGCCAATTTAATAAAAAGAAGTGAATGAAATGAACACAAATCTCCCTAAACCCCATAGTATATATCCCATTATGCTCATGCTTTCGACCACAAAATTTTCCTATAAATTTGGAATAATTAAATTAATAAATCATGAAAGTCCAGCAATAAAAATCAACCAAAACTTTCCATTATATTAAATCATCAAGTAATTTTTTTAAAGGTACTTCCAATTCTAACTATTTTACTTCTTTAAATATCTTCGAACAAATTAATAGGTAAAGTAACTCAAATGAGAGTACTTTGACAGAAATGATGATAACAACCAAAATATGAATAGAGGTTCAACGATCAACATTATATCGATATTTAATTTCACGATAAATGTGGTCATTGATATGTTTTTATATATAACCTTATTAGGACAAGGTATATGAGCAGGCAAGTCACAAGATAAAACCTGTGTTTCGAATGTTTACCTGACACACTGAAAGAAATTTACTCCAAATGATAAATATCAATTTATAGCGTTCATTCAGTTATGTCCAAAACCTCATAAAAGGTAACTTCGCGACATTCGGGCGGGACTTATGAGAGTGAGAAATTGTGAAATGTTTGGAGAAATGGAAAGGATTTTAAGGAAATTGGATATTTTCAGGAGTTATAGTACTTGAGATGTCTTGGTAGCATTTTTAGTGTGAATAGGGGCCCTACACTATTCTGGTGAGAAATTTAGGCAAAGATTTGATCACAGTGATGTTTCCATTGCCTTTTGAATTGATACAAATAATCACTCGCTTTGATCGTCTGGACGATACTAACTTAGTTGTTGTCTGATGACAACATCCTTATCAATATAGAGGTATGCGAAACTTCTGAAAACATAACATTCAGTAGATGAAAAATTCTGACGGGTGATACTATTTTATAAATGGTTTCTGCCAAAATTCTTGACAGAACAGAACGGTACAGAAAAGATACGGGAGGCTTGACTTTTTACCATTAGAAATGAAAGTGGATAATTATAATCATAACTACTAAGTGGCCCACCATCTAGAGGATTGTACAAATTTTTGATTTCGTTGTTAACAAAATAAAAGTTACCAAGATACCAAGTTTACTTATAACACATTTTCAAACAGGATAAAAGGTACATATAAAAGCTAAGCACAAATACTTATCTGATGTTTCATTGTATCTTAAAGCAGTCTAATTAATCTGCAGTATATACCAATCATACCTAAAATATCAACACATGAGACGTGGAGCAACTGATGTGAGGAACTATATTTTTCTACCCTTGGTGGCACCATGGAAACATTGAATTGAAATGAATGTGGGAGCTGAAAGGTGAAAACCGAAGTGTTTTGTTCGTGACTTTTAATTTGGGGAGTACTCTATTTTCATATGTGTAGTCAAAAGATACTGGGGAAGGATGCCATATACATTTTGATTTACAAGATTTTAGTTTATCAGCATTTTGTCTACATTTCTAAAAGGATTTAATTAAAACAAATTATTAACTAAGTCGGAGCTTAGGAGATCAGGGATTGATGTTTCCCCGTCAATTGGAAATCATGATGATATAAATTTGCGGTCTTTTTCTTCCAATTTAATAAAAGTTATGCTACATTAAATGTATAGTAAACTTAAATTAAATGTACCAGCTGCTGTTTTTAATGATAATGTTTATATTGCTAATAGTATTATAAATGAAGGTAAGGTAACCCTAATTATTCAGCCTTCAGACTATTTATAAAAGTTATAGCTCAAAACTTAGAAGTTTATAAAATATAATAAAATATGAAATCTCATTGGCATTTGATACGTAAAACCAATTAACAAGTTCCAACTTTATTTTAATTTGCTGTGAGCGATAAATCACCTGCGAATATTTAACCTTAGGTCGCTGGTGTCGTCGGATTCTAGTTTGGGTCCAATTGGGCCTTTATAGGTTACTATAAGATATTTGCGGATATATGTAACTGTCGCTCAGGTGCGTTCATATTTTCTTTTTATTTACTACTAAAGTACTACATTGTCTATTTTAATAATTTATGATTTCATTTCATTATGTTCGCTGGCTTATTACTATTGTTAAAATTTTAGTAACAATGTCTGGAGTCATGCCTTTGAGCCTAGTAAACGGGAAGCCGACTGCTTGTTTTCCCGATGAAAATAAATATAAATTAGCCGAACTTTTGGGCTCTGGTGCTTATGGTCGTGTATATAAGGGGAAAGATCCTGATAACAAGACTGTTGCAATTAAAGAAATAAAAATACCCTTAAACGACCAAGGAATTCCATTAAGTACGCTACGGGAACTAAGCGTACTGAAGAAAATGCAAGCTGTAAACAGTCCCTTTTTAGTCACGTAAGCTTATTCCTTTCTTGAATATTCTTTTAGAATGCTCGATGTTACTTTGAACCGAAAATGTGAGGAAACTGTCTTTTACATCGTGTTTGAGTATATACACTGGGATTTGGCTCATTTTCTGGAATCTGTTCCTAAAGCTCAAGGTCTTACGTTGAACAACATCAGGGAACTCTCCGCTCAATTACTCAAAGGAATAGATTGTCTGCACTCACATCGAATAATTCATCGTGATCTAAAACCAGCCAATATTCTGATCGACCAAGCGGGTAGGAACTTAAAGATCACTGATTTCGGTCTCTCACGAGTTCTTGGTTGGGACACTCCCCTAACTCCTGTTGTTGTAACTCTCTGGTATCGATCCCCAGAACTTCTTATTCTCTCCGAGTATTTAACTGCTTGCGATATTTGGGCTGCTGGATGTATAATTGCTGAGCTCTTTAATTTAGCTCCTCTCTTTAATGCTAAAACTGAAATGCTTGTTCTTCAGAAGATCTTCAAGTAAGGTTCCTTTTTATTACCTTCTATTTTTTTACTCTCAGTACCTTAGGTTTTCCTGATGACTGCGAATGGCCAGCTTTATCGTACATCAAAAGGGAGAGTTTTACTCGACTTGGTCGACACAACATTTTACGCTCAAAGGTGAAAACTAACGACCAAGACGCTCTCGATCTTATTGATGTAATTATTTTGTTTATACTTCTGTTTATTTCTAAATTGCCATCTCATTTGACTGGTGTTCTCTCTTCTTTTTTCAGAAAATGCTCTCCTTCAACCCCAAGAAGAGAATATTGGCACGTGATGCTCTCAATTTGCCCTTCTTCAAAGTTACTCCTACTGCGGCATGTCCTGATTTCCGAAAATTGGATTCTTTATTCTCACAACCATCTTCATCTCTGTCTATTCCTGCAAATTCCAGCCAACGCCATATGAGGAATAGTCTATTCGAACCTAGTAGGAATTGCTCAGCTCGTCCATACATTAATGCTCGACATTCCCTGAGACCTGTGGTGCAACATAGCGTCTCAACTCACGCTTCGATCCCACCCTCTCGTGAATTTCCAGAAAATATAGGTATTAACTCATGTGATCCACCCAAATCTTCCACGAGTGCCTTATCTGTGGACGTTGATTTCAATCCCCCATCGCATCATGTAAATCGTATCGTAGGTCGACGGTACACTCAACCTGTTAGGTCGAGGATATCTCAATTACCTAATCGTAATAAACCAATTATTGAGGTTCCGAGCAATGAGTCCTCTCCTGTGAAACCTGAAACTGAAATAGCTCCCATTCCTCCTCGACAGCCATCCGTGGCAGCTGAGGACCTTTCAACGAGTGACGCTATTCGTGCAAGACCCAAGAGAACAGCTCGACGTCGAACTGTGTTGGGTATAGAACAGGTAAGGGGCCTTTTTTCCGCCTGTTTTCCTAACAGCATTTGATTTTCCTTCTCTCTATCTGTTCGTTGTTTTGTAATATAGATCCGTGAACTGGTTGGTAATGAAAGCTCTTTTTGAACCCTTCTACACTTATTGGATTGCTTAATTTTGATGAATCTCCTTTTTTATGTAGCCACAAACGAAGCTGCCTGTGAATTTTCGTTCGAGAAGAACGATGCTTCCGATTCGTGGAGAGGAATTTGTGAACATTCCGCAATGTTCATCTCCTAGACGTAGCTCATTGGTGTTAGCGGATAAATGCCCCTCTCCAATTCCCCCAAAAACTACTAAAACTATTGAATATGTTTGTTCCCCGGCGAAAATGGTCAAATTATCTTCGGAAACAAAGGCCAGTTCCCCTGCTTGTTGGTCAAAATGGAGGAGTCCAATGGGCATTAACACATCTGATTCTGCGGAGCATCACGAGGAGGAATCATATCTCGACGAGGAATATGCGGGTGAGGAAGAGACGACGGAGACTAGTCATGATACGAAAACTCCTGGTGAGGAGGAACATGACGACCAGGAAGATACGGAGAATGCGAATATCTCCCAGGGGTTTTTGAGCAGTATAAACTCTCTTTCTTCATTGAGCGAGTCCCCGCACCCCTCTGAAATGCTTAACTATTTAAACAGACATGATAGTGAAGATGGTGAATATTGAAACATGTCAAAATTACATCCCAATCTCCCTTTCCTTCCCTCATAATCAGACGTGTTTGCATTTATATCTTTTTGATAATGCATTTTTCTAAATCTAGCCTTTGTAATGTCTATATTGGAAATAGACGATCTTTTGCACTTAAGCCTAATCAGATTTTATGTAGTGTATGGATGGGAGAAGGGGGGGGGGGTCTGGAATGGGAGAGAGGTGCTCTAGGTCCATTAAAATTAATCCTGATTAGAATATTCGGTAGAAGACGTAGGTTTCCTGTCGACTGGATCTATAGGAATCAATTCCTCTGACCTAGCAGATAAAGTTGCATGTTGGTTCAATTCGACTGCGAATGGTAGAATAAATATCAAGCAAATTTGTGATCGAAATGTACTTCGCACAGAAGTTGTGCATTTTGAATTTTTTCTTACGTTTATTATTAGAATCCTGGGGTGTACGATAGACTTACCTCCACGTGGTGCACTCTGGGCAACATATACTCATACGGCAAAAAAGTCTATTTATCGGCAGTTGACTTCTGACTTCAAACTACCAAGATCCCACCGCATTTCATATTCGAATAATTCCAAAGTACTCACCTTTTTTCTACCTTTGTGTCTGTCTGTCTCTTTTACATCTGTGAATCATTATTCTGTCCCCACTCTCGACTTTTTGCCACTTTGGTGTTCCTCTTCCTTTCTGTGAACCCCGAAGTCAACTAGAGGGCTAATGATACCTATTATAACGCCTGCCACTTGAAATAAATAAATTATTAGAATCCTTTTATTGGCTAAGATACTTTCAAACGGGTTGATCATTTTTTTTATCAGCAGCTGCCTCTAATATGCAATCGATCTGATTTTTAGAGATCGAGTTGCTAGAATATTGCCAGCTTGCTTTCCCATTTCATCAGCTCCGAAACACTGCTAAAAAACAGATCTGGTAACCCTCTGATGTGTAGCATTCATGTGATCCGTTTTATTGTGTTCAAACTAATAAAATGATCTGGGAAATTCGTTTTTAGAGACTGAAGAAAAGGTCAGCCCTAATGAGGGATTTTAAAATAAGCGATAGCAAAACGCCATACAGTACTCATCTCACTAAACGACATCAAGCCAGTGATTATCACCAATACTAAGATTTGTATCAAATGACAGGCTTTATGGTGGTTATCATTAGCTCTTTAGTTGACTTCGGACTTCACAGAGGGGATGAACATCAAAGCCACAAAAAATTCGAAAGGGGGGGGGGTGGAAGAAGAGTGATTCACAGATGTAAGAGAGACAAATACGAAGGTAGGGAAAAAGGAAATGCGAGTACTGTGACAGTAATCGAATACGACATACAGTCGGATTTTGGTAGCTTGAAATAAGAAGTCAACTGCAGGTTTATCGATTTGTTTTTGCTGTTTGAGTATACGCTGCCCAGGATACACCACGTGTTTGTGTCTACTGCGCACCCCTCAACACTAAGATTGATAGTACAAGATTTAATTGGGAAGGAATCAAACTGTTGAAATCTACGTGCAATATCTATCAATTAGGTAATTCTCCTTCTGGATTTCAAATTTCATGAATTGTTCCTCGCATGCCGACGGCAGCTAAGATGGTTGGCTTTATCACTTCAGTATGCACTTTCTTCCACTGTTTGTGAATCAAGATTGCCTTACATGTTTCTCGACATCTCTTACAGTCTTAAAATAGCAGAAGGGAAGTAGCCAACGATTTGTAACTTGCAGAACTGTGTTCACCTAATCCTGTTAGGGTGGAATATGATAGGTAGTAGTGCTTGTAGTATATCAATGTCCGCGAAAACAGCATTTGAGCGGAGTCAATCACTAGACCCTAGTCCCACTTACCAAATTTGTGCTCTGGTAGCCCGGTAGCAAATAGCAACGCTCATTATGGATCACCAAGAGGGCAAGGGTCAGTCGCGCTAGTAAAAGTTAGAAAAAATTATATTTATATCAAATGATAGGCGTTTTGATGCTTATCTTAGCCCTTTAGTTGACTTCAAGCTTCACAGAGGAGAAGGAACATCAAAGTGACAAAAGGTCAAGAATGTGGAGGGGGGGGGTGAAGGGAACAGAAGAGTGTTTCAAAGATGTAAAAGAGACAGACACAAAGACAGAAAAGAGGTAAGATGAGTACTGTGGAAGTGGTGGAATATGACATACAGCGGGGTGATGGTAGTTTGAAGTCAGAAGTCAACTGCCGGTTTAGAGCCTTTTTTGCCGTATGAGTATACGTTGCCCAGGGAGCACCACGTGGAGGTAAGTTTATCGCACACCCCAGGTTAGCAAATAAAGGAACTGGTGGAATTCAAGTTCCCCCACTAGCTAGGCTTGATGAAAGCACCGCGTAACTGAGGGTAGTGTATCGGTAAACACCTACTTATTTAATTTTTAATAATTTTGGTCGATCTTTCCTCAAAGTTAGTTTAATGATTTAAATAAATCAGTTTGCTTGCAAATGAGGATTATCCTCAACATCGCGTTCACTTTTCACAAACTGGTTGTTTCCCTGCCAAGGTTTGGTGCCAAATATCACGATATCAATAAAAATTTCTGCAATTGTAAACTTTCTTTATCACTAAATTAAGTGAAGTCATAATTATAAAGTCTTAAAAATAAATCCATAAAGTACTTACTATTTGAAAATAAACTCTTTTAGGTCCTCTTCTTAAAGTTTTAGGACAATATTTTGTACTAAAAAATCTTCTAGTTTTATGGAAGAAGAAGAAGATTAATAATTGATATACTAGCTTGTTACGGATAAGATAGAGTGATAAGAATATCGATTTCTGTTTCCTTAAGGACAAATCCTATTCTCACATGTGGTTATTTCAACCAGCAATAATTCTTGCCCATTTTGAAGTTCCAATTGTTCTGATAATTACTTTAATTGCAATATTCTTATTCTTGACAAGGAACAGTATGGGAACAGTTTGACACTTTCAGCGCTAAATGAAAGTTGGTTGTTCACCTTGAAATTCACATCTTCTTGACTTCTAGGCTTACAGGTCTCATGATAATTGAAGGAATTCCATTTGACTCAAGACATTTGGATGAGATTGAACCGAATGCCAGCTTTCCTGTGAGAAGTGTTGTATTCATTTGTATTTTCGTTGTTGATATATTTACTAATCAAAGGCACCTTGGGATTTGTCTTAATCTCATTCTTAAGATGGTTCCATGTTTATTTAATCCCTTTCTTCTGATGACAATGATTATCGATTTGACAGTGTTTTCTTTTCTGAGTAGAACAGTTCAAATAGACCCTGTCGCTGATACTACGTAAATAAACCTTGAATGAACCTCGAAACTCCTTTCGGCCAGGCTATTTCAACAGTATCGAGGAAGGAGGACGCATAGGATTTTAATATAAATTATGATCACGACGAAAATGATTAATAAATGAATACATTTAAGCACAACTTTGAATGAATATTAATCGACGATTAGTCGAAAAGGCCTCTCTAGTCATGAATGCTCTTTCCAGAATGCTGGAGCGCGCATGGAACCTCTCCACAAATCGTTAACGCAAATGCCAACCGTTTATACGATCTAATAATAATATTATTCTTATAGTAATATGAGTTCTTTTTTCTGTTAAATTCATTCTCTTCATTTAGATGGACTTCAAGCAAATGCTTTTTGGAAGCCACGAGGTAGGAATATTCTCTTTATTTTGAAGTGGTTGTTTCAGCTGAGGCCTTAACTATGACCACAAGAGTTTCATTTAACCTTTACCATTACCTTCTAATGCTTTTACCTATTTGAAAGGTTATCTTCCTAGTATTCCCATTGAATTGCTCAAAAGGACGAAAATTCTAGCAGATTTGTATTGAATTTACTGAACTAGCAAGGAAGTAATTATTATTATCATCATTTCAATTGGCAGGCTTTATGATATTTATCATTAGCCCCTTAGTTAACTTCATCTTTCCCCACGGAGGGGGGGGGGACAACACATATTATTAATTGCAGTTCATTAGCTGTCTTCTGGCTTCCCAGTATCTCTGGCTTTCCGTCGTTGTCTTTAGGGCTGGACACCGAATCAGGTGGGTCTTCTCCATTTCCTCCTGTATGCTACATAGAGGGCATGTGGGTTGAGTGTATTCTCCCAATCTGTGAAGGTGTTTTGCCAAGCAATCGTGTCCGGTACGTGGTCGAAACTCAGCAACGGCTTCGATTCCTGG